AAGAATCCATAAAACACATTATTAGACTGCTTCTCAATAATTAAGCATAATTGTGAATTCACAAATGCTACGATTTAATTAAATAATTATATGCGATGCAGTTCTAATACAGTATATGCGCTTTAATTATTTACATGCGTGTAGGTTAAGTATGTGCGTCACACAGTGGCTCCGTTCACAGTAGTTCCACAGGAACTGTTATCATTTACATGTGTGGAGCGCCTGCATGTTGTTGTGAGTTTGGGTTTATTATAATTATTATCATCTGGGAACGCACCATGCGCCATTTCCTCAGATTTGTAAGGTAAATCATTTATAAATCCACGCAAACACAGGAGAATACATAATTATCTAGCGGTTTCAAAATAAAAGCTCGAACCCTCACTCTTGAGTTTCCACGTTTTGATGTCCACATATTCTATTAATTGCAGTGGCTATAGCATTTCTGTCCTAAAGAAATGGCCAAATATTAAAGATTAAGTGGACATTTGAATGAAATGGTGCTTGGTCAATATTAAACAAGTATTAGATGTGCACAAGTACAGCAATGTGTAAAAATAATCATCAGGCCGTTGGCGCCCTCTGCAGGCCTTTGTTGTAATGCGTAATGTATATTAGCTCTATTGCAGGGATCCTCAAATCTGGCCCACAAGATCCACTTTCCTGCAGAGTTTAGCTCTAACCCTAATCAAACACACCTGAGCAAGCTAATCAATGTCTTCAGGATCATTAGAAAATCACAGGTAGGTGAGTTTGATCAGGGTTGGAGCTAAACTCTGCAGCGCATTGGCCTTCCAGGGCAAGATTTGAGGAACCCTGCTCTATTGTTTATAATACATTGTATTTTAACAGTTTTGTTCAATAAAACCATATGATTTCTTGCTTTTGATACTTTATTTGAACTAATTATTATTGCCTCATAGCTATTATATATTTAGTTTAAGTAATGTTAAAGGCTATTGTTCACTTACATCTATTTTTATTACCACAAAAAATTTATTATAATTATAGGGCCCTATAAAATCCGTTTTATTTCCAAATTCTTTTTTTTTTCATTTTCATTTTTCTAATGGTTAAATTACATTTTATTAATCAAAAAGCCTGTCTAATTAATTTAGTTTTATCTTTACCTAATTCTGTTTTCCATCATTTTCTGGATTCCATTTTAATGGTTCCAATACATTTTAATAATCGAAAGCATCTCCAATTAATTGATTTTATAAAAAAAATAAAAAAAAAGTTTTTTGTTTTTTTTCAGAAATACTGCACATTTACATTTTTCTCCTGATTAAATTCTGGTAAATAACATTTCTGTTAAATACTCCTTTAAAAAGTGTTTTTTGATTATAGTTTTATTATTAGTAGACTAGAACACGTGGATATGTTGTCATTCTTACACTATAATACTGAACTTTGACTTCAGTGATTTGGTCTATGAGATGGACACTTGCTTCTTGCACTCTATGTTGCACTTTACTTTTGCTTTAAAAAAAGGATTTCATTTGGTTTAATAAAATATAGTTTAATAAAATATTCTTATGTAAAATTGTAGATTTATTTGTGGGAAATTAATAGTTTAGATTAATCGATAAATTAGTCGATAGATTAATCGAAATAAAAATAGTCGTTAGTGGCAGCCCTAATAGTTTGTCATGATTAGATTAGGATTTAATTGTAATATATTGAAGAGAACTTAACTGACAGTGTTAGTTTTGTCAGCTATTTTCATTTTAGTCTTAATCTTAGTCCCAGGCTAAAATGTCCTTGTTAGTTTTTATCATATTTACTCAACCTTATCCTATTTAGTTTGTCAAGTTTTAGTCGACTAAAAGTCTCAACATTTTATTCTAGTTTTAGTCCAAGAAAACCTAAAGTATTTTAGTCTAGTTTTAGTCAATGAAATCTTGACATTTTAGCAATAAGATTATTATTAATTAACCTTACAGCAGTATTCATTTTGGCAGCCATTTTTTATTTAGTCTTAGTCTTACTCAAATGTACATTTTAGTTATCATATTTAGACAAACTTGTCCTGTTTTTGTTTATTCAATGAAATGTATGAGCATTTTAGTCAGGTTTTTTAGTCAATGAAATATTAGTCACATTTTCGTCATTCTGTATAATGATTAAACTGATAAAAAAATATTTTTTTCTCAAAATTATAATCGTAATGATTGTTGTCATTTGAGAAATTTACTTTAGCATTTCAGGTATTGCACTTTCTCCAGTAAGCACAAATCAATAGAATGCGGATACATACTACATGGTGTATTTTACCTCATCTAGTGTACTGATTTATTATAGGCTTTTTATTATATAAATCAACACCAAAGACTTATGCAATCTCTCTGTCTACATTATGAAAACAGCTCAAACAAACGAAAAAATATTTTAACAGTGAAATTCCTAGTAATTCCACTAATTCCATAATTGCAATAGTCTATTTCTCTATTAAATGAACAGCGATTAAGTAGGCTAAGTGTATTTATTCAGCGATCACAATCGCAAACAATACAGTCGAGATCTCATGACAGAACACTGACTGGCTGAATGACGCTTTCATTTAGATCTAAACTCCAGCTTGTTTTTCAGATCATCTGCTACGGCGCTTCCGCAATGAGGAGCGTGCGTGTGCGCATGGTTGCCAGATTGCTTAAAATAAGCAAAACACACCGGGCAGAAAATGTATGAATTTAAGAGCGAAGCTCTGATTCGGGGATTAGAACTTTTGATATCTGGCAACCGCACTCATGAGGCGTGTAGAGCAGTCTGCAATAACATTTTGTCTCCTTTTTCTGACGAAAATAAAAAGGTTTTTGGTAAAGTTTTTATCTTTTTGAATACATTTTAGTCTCGTCTTATTTTGTCAACGAAATTGCATGTTTATATAGTCTTAGTTATCGTTTATTGACCTTATTGTCGTCTTATCTTAGTCATGGGAAAAAAGCTCGTCAACTAACATTTTTCGTCATAGTCTTCGTTAACAAAATTACCACTACTGACAGTTAAGGGGTTAAAATGGTAATGCACACCTGTTGCTACCAGAATAACGGCCCATTTGAAATGTAATGTGCATTTATTTCTTTTTCTCCTTTTTGTTCTTAACATCTTCCAGCCGCTGTGGTGAAGCGAAGCTCAACACCTATTATACGGTGCTCTGCAGTGGACTAAAAGGATTTAAACAGTGAATTTTGTATTGATTTCTTTTTGTAAACTCAAAGATGTGGATTTGGACGGTAATTAAATCACCACACGACCTTGGTGTTTGTCTAAACAGTAGGTAATTCAGCAGGGGATTTTTATGGGGGTGGTCGGAGAAAAACACAGACATTTTGGATTCAGACGGCAATAAAATCACAGACTACCTCCTGTAAATGGTGAAAACCCCTTACATTCCCCTGATAAACAATTACCATCTGAATAGGGTAAATGTCTCCAAGACACTTTAAAGAAACCTTCCTGCAAAGCTACCTGAAAAACTAGGTGCATGTGTACCAGGGTTGCCAGGTTTTCACAACAAAACCCGCCCAATTGCTACTCAAAACTAGCCCAATCACGTTTCGAAGGGGATCCCCCGGTAAAAATCACATTCCGGTGGGGTAAAATACACGTTTTTGGTGGGGTTCCCCTGGTAAAATTCACATTTTAGGGGCTAAATATCATGTTATTGGGGTCGCTTAAACCTGCAGAAACAGCGTTAAAGTACTAATGGCATAAGACTCTTGCGCACACACACACACACACACACACAAAGGACAAATGGATATGCAAAGTTCGCTTTGTCGTGTCCAGTGTAGACTGCTTTTAGCAGTGTATACTGCTGAAATATAGAAACCAGACTGATGCTGTTTTTTTCAACAGTATATTTTAGGGCTGAAACTATTAGTCGACATTATCGACAACATTGACAAACAATTGTCAACAAATATAGTAATTTAATCTCATATGACCCAATATAGTCATGCAGAATAAAGAATTTGTATGTGCTTTATAAGTATTAATAAACAGCCAAAAAGATACATGCTAAAAAGCAACTAGTTAATAGTGAGAATTGGGCCTTTAAAATAAAGTGTTACAGAGTGGAACGAAAGGGAATACAAAATTGTACTTGCTATGGCCTCCCATTTATAGAGCAGTTTATCCTACTATAGTTAACTTCTGAGCTGTTTTTGTATAATTCACAGTTGTACACCGTACATCTGATTATTCATTGAACTTTCAATCGCTGTATTTTGTACTGCCTGGAAGCCTGGGCTATTTATTTGATGACTGAATGAGCTTTTGAATAGGCAGGACTTTGCAACGTGATCTACAAAGAAAAATTAAGTAATTTTATAGTTGTTATAGTTTATTCTAATCTTCCTCACCCATAGAAAGCTCAGACGGCCATCAATCTGCCACATTCAGAAGCCAAGAGTAAAAATCTATTTGGCCTGTTGGTGAGATTAGGTAGACAACACAAAATTTAATCTGACTGCATGTCATTCTAGTTTCATTATTTAAATAAATAAATGTGATTTTCAGAGTTTGAAATAAAACCACTTTTCACAGTATAAAGGCACAACTAAATTAACTCTATAGCACCATCTAGCGTCCAAGAAGTATGCTTTCAAGTATCTTCCTAGCAATATAAATATTCAGCACATATTTGCATGAATTGTAAAAACACAAATAATAAGTGATCAAACATTTAGATTAAATAATTGTTATTTTTTTTTAAATGTGTGTAAAATATGACCCCCACCTCTCTCAAATAAAAGGGCAAATTCCCCCATCATATTTGCTTGCTTGAAGCAACATAGAGTACTATTAATAATTCAAATTATATTCTAAAATCCTTTATAACTCCTATATCTTGTAGGTGTAAAATTCAGTTGTTAATTATTAATTAACTGCTATTGGTAACCAATTTTGTGTGTGGATGACCATGCAGACAAGCTACTGCAGATGATATGCAGAATTGATCTTTAACAGCTGCAATTTTATCTTTTTTTCCATAGGTTGTAACTTTGTGGTACAGAGCTCCAGAGATTCTCCTAGGATGTAAATATTATTCTACGGCTGTTGACATCTGGAGTTTGGGCTGTATCTATGCTGAAATGGTATTTATCTGTTTGAATGTACATATCATCTTGCTATTACTGATTGCTTATTATGTTCTTTTTACTTTTAAAACACTTTATGGCTTTTCATACCAGATCACTCGGAGGGCTTTGTTTCCTGGAGACTCTGAAATAGACCAGCTCTTCCGAATATTTCGGACACTGGGCACTCCGGATGAATCTATATGGCCTGGAGTCACCTCAATGCCAGACTACAAACCCTCCTTTCCTAAGTGGGCACGACAGGACCTGTCTAAAGTGGTGCCACCCTTGGATGAAGATGGCAGAGACCTTCTTGGGGTAAGAGGACAACAAAGTTTATCTAGTATCACAACCTGATTACAGTAGGTTAACCACCTGAGGCATTTTATTACGCAAAAATGCAGGTTATATGCATTTTGGGTTTCTTCTCACTATATTCTTAGCTCCATATAAAAAGAGCCTCTAAAAGGATCTTTGCAAAAATAAAAAAATATGCTGACTTTCGTGTGCGCACAAGAAACCATTAAACTTAACTTGTAGGACAATGCACACTGAGCCACTTATTGTGCCATCAGCCCATTTCACTGTGGTTTTTTTAGCCACCACAGAGTATGCGCTAAAGCAGACTTAAGGCCTTGAAATATGACGTACTGCCCTAGAGAGCCAAATTTTGAACACTTCTTTTTTTTTTTTTACAGTACCAGTCTTTTTTATAGACCCTTGAACTTGGCACATAGGAACAATGCACACAACCGTATTGTGCCATTAGCCCATTTCATGTTGTTTCTCCGCCGCCACAGAGGATGCATTAAATTGGACATTAGGCCTTGATATTAGAGATACTACCCTAAGAAAAGCCACATTTTGAGCAAATATATCTCTTGATTAATGTGCATCAATTCTCTCATTTCCAATGTAGTAAGATGGCAGTGATGCTCAACGGAAATATATTATAGTGTATATTAGAAATTGTAATTCGTAAACAAAAAAAATTCCCATGTGCATGTCAATAGTTTCTTGAAGGCACAAAAAAGTATCTTGTGTGCATGCAAAAGTCTGTATTTTTTTTATTTGTATTTTTTAAGTCATGCTCAGTGTTGCCAAGTCCGTGGTTTTCCCGCGGTATTGGGCAACTTTAACACTTGCTGCGTTTTGTAGTTTTGGGCTAGTTTTGAGTAGCAATTAGGCGGGTTTTGTTGTGAAAACCTGGCAACCCTGGTCACGCTTATTGACCGTGTAAGATGATTTACGATTAGCCGTGTCGGAAATCCAACCACGGATTGGCATGTTGTTATCTCAGAAACAGGCTCAGTCATCACATTGAATCAGGTAAACTGGTTATTTTTTTATGTTTCAGTATAATTACGCACGCTATACCAGGGGCGGTTCTAAACCCTTTTTAGGTGGGTTTCAGCCCCCCTATCTGTCACCTTAGCCCCCCAAAACTATCTTAACAATCAGGCCTGTGCTGCTTCCTCAAGAAAGTTTTTCATTCTCACGTTTTAAGTCTGGTCAGTTTAAACATTAAAGTAATTTTAAGCCATTTAAGCCCAAGACATCTCAATGCGGTACTCACGCACTGTGATAGAGCTTCTATGCGCACCGCTCACACACCTGAAGTGCACAAACAGATAGCCTTCTCAGACAGCAGGTGAATACCAATGGCTGTCTTGACAAGTATCCTTGTAAGCACAGTCGGTTGTTTTAAGTGAATGTAAACAGTAAAGAAAATATCAAATGTACATCAGTATAACGGATCCGTGCATTTCTTATGTAAATAATGTTAATCAAAAAGAGCAAAAGAAAAATTGTTCGCTGCTTTAATAGCTTTAATGGATATTTGCTTTTATGTTAAAGTTAATAAAGTAATTTGGTGTGACTACAGTAATACGGGAGGATGGGGGGTTGTTGGATGATGTTGGGGGGAGCGCGAGTGAAATTAGACCAATTTGGGGGGGGGGCGCATATCCATGTCCTAAGTATTTTCCACAAATAAATATTTTTTTATAATTTTATTATTAAAAAGGAAGTAAACTGTAACCAACAGAGCACTCAGTATTCTGGGACGTTTGTGTGCATTGGGAATCATATTTTTTCAAATAAATAATAATAATACGAACAATAATACTACTTCGATAATAATACTATGAATTCTAACAATAAAAACAATATAAAACGCAGTAAGGATTAACGAGCTGCTGGATTCATGAATATTAATCAGGTTGTGTGCATTCGCTCAAACTGATTTGCTGAAATCAAAACAGGGACAATAATAGGTGAGCGCCAGCCAATGAGATTGTCATTTGCGCATTAGTTCCGCCCACTACCGGAAAACCCGTCAGTTCTTAATAGCTGAAGTATTTTGACAGGAAAAAAACAACAAAGAATATTGTTTACATATAGCGCATCAATTCTGCATGGTATTTAAGACACTCTTGCTCTGTCTCTCTCTTTGCGTGTGAGCAAAAAGCAAAGTGACGGCGAGTCGTGTGCCTTCACACTAGAGTTTACGGTACGCGAAATACAGGTGCACTGCGCATCCATTGAGATAAATTGAAAAATCGCAGAGGATCGCTTGATGGAGAGAGAACTCTGAAGCACTCAGTCAGAGTGTTCGACAAGTGAAAATATATCTGTGCTTAACTTATACTTAGCCTCCAACTCACACACTGGCGAGTAAAATCTGAGAATTTTTAGCCAGTGGCTAATATTAGACATTTAATCACCCAGAGTGAAGGTTTAGTTGCATATGCGAGTGATTTACTCGCAATGTAGAGGGTTGAATTAGTTATTGTGTTATTGTGATGTAACTTGTACACATTTTACTAGTTTTTCCCAAACTATAACTATAAACTATAATAAAGAGCCCATGTGACACCTCTCTTTATCTCCTTGCACTGGCTTGCAACCGGTTGCGGCTCGAATCAAGTTCAAGACATTGATGCTTGCATATAGAGCAGCCACAGACTCAGCACCCGCCTACTTCCACTCACTACTACGAATCTACATCCCCTTCAGAAGTCTGAGATCCGCTAGTGAGCGACGCCTCGTGGTACCATCACAGAGAGGCTCAAAATCCCTTTCCAGAACATTCTCGTTCACCACTCCTGGCTGGTGGAACGATCTTCCCACCCCTATCCGGAATGCTGAATCCCTGACAATTTTCAAGCGACAGCTGAAAACTCATCTCTTTCGAAGCTACTTGTCTTCATCATCATAAAAAAAATTAAAATTATCTCTTATTTATTCCTTCTCTTTCTAGCTTGTACTTATTTGAACAATGTCTAAGAACTTGGTATTACAGCCCCTTCCTGTGTCTGTTTGCCTCTTTAAGAAGAATCGCTTTATGTATCCCCCAATTGTAAGTCGCTTTGGATAAAAGCGTCTGCTAAATGACTAAATGTAAATGTAAATAATTTCAGACTAAAATTTGTGAAATTAAGTGAAACATTTTGAAATATGTTTCATTTCATTGCATCTAAATGCCTCACAATCCGCTCCGTTTTAATCACTTTCCAGAACATTCTCGTTCACCACTCCTGGCTGGTGGAACGATCTTCCCACCCCTATCCGGAATGCTGAATCCCTGACAATTTTCAAGCGACAGCTGAAAACTCATCTCTTTCGAAGCTACTTGACTTCATCATAAAAATAAAAAATATTTTTTTTTTTATCTCTCTTTATTTATTCCTTCTCTTTCTAGCTTGTACTTATTTGAACAATGTCTAAGAACTTGGTATTACAGCCACTTCCTGTGTCTGTTTGCCTCTTTAAGAAGAATCGCTTTATGTATCCCCCAATTGTAAGTCGCTTTGGATAAAAGCGTCTGCTAAATGACTAAATGTAAATGTAAATAATTTCAGACAAAAATTTGTGAAATTAAGTGAAACATTTTGAAATATGTTTCATTTCATTGCATCTAAATGCCTCACAATCCGCTCTGTTTTCCGCTCTATGGACGATAACTAGCTCACCTTTTGCGGCACCATGTTTGCGTAGCACATCCTCGTGCTTTCTGGCAATGTGCCGCTTCAGATTCCAATATGAATCTTTACTAACTCTCCCCGCACTCCCTCTCAGTTTCTTCTCCCTGCTCATTCTTAACTTAGATTTTTTACTTTACATTTATGTATAAGGCTTGCAACTTCGTTGAAACAATATCTGAACTCCATAACTGCTCTACTATTCTCGATCTCGAACAAGCAAATCACCAAACGGCATTCTGGGTTGAGCGAGCGGCGCTGAGCATTTTGAGCGAGCGGAGCGGAATCTTCAGAAAGGCGCTCTGCGCTCTTAAGGAAATATTACCGCTCCGCTCCCACTCCGCTCCGCTCACATGCTCTGCTCACAACGCCAGTTTGTTAACATACTATAAAATATAAAATAATACGATATAAAAGTAATATGAGTCTTTAGACTGTAACTCTATGAATGTTTAGATCTTTACTGTGAAATACTCTGTTCGAGGATATATGTGGATGTTTATAATGTGCTAAACAATAATAATTTATTTTCTCAGACGTATAATGTTTTTGTATTATATAATACATATAAAGCATGCTTGTGTTTGAAGAGTCCCGCCCCCTACACTATAGATAGATGCAGAAGCTGTGGCTGAAATCGGTCACTTGTTCACAGAATTGCAATTTTCTATATGAAGAATGGCACATAGTGCAGTATATAGGGAATAGAGAACGGTTCAGACAGCGTAAATATGCATTCCATTGGGATGAATGAAGTTTGGTTTTGCATGTTGCCATGCGAATCACTGTAGCGCTCATACAGTCTGCTCCAGTAAAGAGACACGATAGCATAAAGCGGATCATATGTGTGAATCGTTGCAGACCACAAAATGTATCGGACCTATTTGAATTCTACACAGAATGCTATAGGCCAATTTTATAGCGATTTGGATGAGATTAGGGGGAGAAACCATTAGACCAAGTCTACACTGACGTGTAGAAGAGACAACACTGGTATTGAATCCAAAGGGGTAATCTATGAGACTGTGGCTGTCATAACCTGTCAAATATGTCTTTACTGCACTCAACCAACAGTTCTGGCTAAGCTGTGATATAAACAAATTCTTTAAACAACCCCCCCACTCCGCTTAGTTTTTTTTAAAAGAGGGGTGGAGCTGATCAATATGTCCCGCCTTGTCTTACTGTTTTAGCTGAAATGATGTCAACATGTTGAAAAGCACTACGTGTTTCAGTGCACTTCAGTGGGCCTTGTATGGGCTGTATCTTTTTTGTGTTTACGCATCTGATGATGTGGACTGTCCTGGGCTTTCTCTAATCAAATACATAAAATTCACT